TGTGGCTAGGAGCCCAAGATGCCCGATCAACTGTCTGGATAGAATCTATGTCTACCATAACAGATAGCTGAGAGAGCCGAACTGGTGCACGATAAGAGAGTCATTCAGCCGTAACACCCTTGCGATGCCTGGCTGCCATGCCACCCAAAGGGAGAGTGAGGGCTGGCATACTGCCGACTCGCCCAAGAATAGACAGGGGAAGCCAAAAGACAGATGTTAGGTTCGAACCACGGAGCTTCGGCACATTAGATTTGTGTTCTAATCACTTAGCTGTCTCCACCCCCCATGAGCCACCTCACTTCGGTGCACAAGAGTAAGATGGAAGTGAGAGTCCTTGATGCCCTGATCATCTTACCGACATGCGCACATCCATCTCGACTGGGAAAAGTCCAAGGTCCAAATCGGACGGGATGAACATTTGAATTTTATCAGGCGCAATGATTAATACAAGTCTCCTTCCAGGATGGTGCATGGCCTTCTTGGTGCACGGTGCCCATTGCGATACTGATGTCCCGAAATGAGAGAAAGATGAGTTTGGCTATCGAGGTATCACTATGAGGCGGGCAGTGAACAAATTGGGGCTATACGTACCCTATAAACGGGGAAATTCAGTGGCGGCGATCTCTTAGAGGGATCATTTACACCAGGCCACCTTCAACGGCTGATTCATGTTGTTTCATTTCTTGCAGTTGGTGCCTACTGAATGTTAGGTCTTAAAGTGCTAGGCTTACCTGAAATGCACGCCTCATTGGTGGATGCATATTATGGAACTGATGGGCCTTACATGCTTCAGCGTCGTCTTCTTCCTTTAACTGGCGCCTTTCTAGTATCATGCTAATAACTGACGACTAATGATCAGTTCACCTCTGAAGCCGAAAATACGAACATACAGAGAGGAAAACTGTGCTGAGGATCTGCGCCTCGGGTCAGGTCAACATCAAGTGGTGTCTTTTCACAGGTCGTTCGGCAGGCTTTCCGGAATAACGCGGGGTACTTAACAAACAGCAATTGCTCATCTGTGCACCCACCCTTGTGATAAGCGTGAAGAGCATCTCAGAATGGCGGGCATGGTCCACCATTATCGGTCGATGTGATATGGTACGCGGTCGCAAACCTCCATAACTATTTCTTGTCGGCAGGTAACAAAGCGCACAAAAGTTCAATCTGGGTCACTAGACCGCCATATGGGTTTAGGTACAGTATCCTCAACCGCCGGCGGTAGGGCGTCAGTCAGACTTCGAGCATTGGCTTAGCTGGATTGGTCCCTTAACAATCAGCTGCTTCACGGTGGCTTTCGCTCTCAAGGTACCAGCCCCGGTGGTTTTTCACAACTCGCTTCAGAACGCAGCCAGTGTCTTCTCTTCGGTTGCAGTGGTTTAAAGGATGTACTCCATACTCCCGCACGAGCAACTGGGCGTGCAGAGACAACCTATGTATGGTACATTATAGTGTGTTTAAGTGATGCATCCGGTTTTTCAGTCGGCCGTTTGCTTTCTCTAGGCGGTTGTTGATCACCTTACGAAAATATACCATGAGTGTGTGTGCACATTCGGAGCGGGTAATATACAACTAATGGGCCTTAGGGTAAGAGACAAATCGTTGGTCCGTGCGGTTTAGCATTTGCAGATCTTGCCAGAATCTATGTGTTGGTACTATGGTTAACAAAAACCTACTTTTCGGTATTGTCTAGACTAGTCGAAAATGTTTTGACTATTCGCGGAGTGCCTACGGAAAAGCACATGGATGTTTTATGATGAATACTTGTTTATTGATGGGTTTGCGAGTATAGAGCTGGCACAGCAGGACATCGCAGCCAAACACAAAGATTTGCGTCCCCAGATTGGCTATCACGGAAGACTTTACTTAACACTGCCCACCCCTCTTCCCCACGAGCAAGTCGAAGAGTTTACACACATGAGGAAACAGTTCGCTACTCACGAAAGAGCGTATAACCGGATGTCCCTCATCGGTACAATCCATGAAACGGTTAGTGCTTTAACATATGCTTTAAAATACTGCCTCAAATGGTTTACCTCATGTGCTCCGACAACACTTACTATATCCAGAAAGTGTTGAAGCATGTGGGACTATAGTGGCCTTTTCATGCCTACTGCAAAAGCAGGCGTCCGGTCTCCCGAAATTTTGCCAAGACTTAAACGATATCACCTGCCACAATAAAACCCAGCTACCAGTGTGTTACTCAACGGAGATGACCGAGATTTGCTGTGATATTTGTGCACGCTTTATGGGGTTATGGCCTTTCCAAATTGGTCGGACTCAAACCACAACACCTCACATAATGGCGTTTCATACTTCAGCAGGTACTCAACTCCTTTCCGATAAGCCGACTATTCACCAACAGAGGGTTATACAAAAACTTTGAAATTTTATGACTGTTCCACAAAATTGGAAGCGAATGCGAGAGGATCTTTATATCTTTTGGGAAGAAAAACAAACAAAACCATCGGGGCTCTCGCTTGAAGCTGATAGTTTTGCCCCGGGAACTAGCGACTATTACCTTTCCATTCCAGTTCATATTGTTGTCCAACTGTACAGAAATCCAGAAAATCCTGCCTACCATTTAAGGAGTTCCACACTCACCAGCTCTCATGCGTTTGGTTTTTTTACTACGTCAACTCTTTGCGTGCTTGTACCGATTCGTTCTGTCCCTGGTCCATAACAGTATATATTGGCAAGCTTAGGACGTCTGTGATAACGAGGCTAACGAGTTCAACTCTATCCCTATCTTATCTTATTTAAACACTGGTTGTCACCACCCTAACTGTGATATATGTTCAGTTTTTTCCTCTGTTTATGGAATTTATCCCATCTGGTGCCTCGTAAAACTCACTAGGCCTTATTGAACTAATCCTATTCCCCTTCTTCACAGGCTTCGGCAATACCAGCATCGAGTGTTATGTTTGGCCGTTATCCAGTCCACCTGATTTGTGCTTCACAACTGGAAGTATCCCCGACAGGTCCAAAAAATCCCTAAGATCTTATGTTGGCTTTGTTCAACCTCTGCAAATTCCCTTGGCTAACCCGAAAAAATCCCGCCGCTCGTAAAACTGCACATCGTAGCTTATTCACGTAAAAACTTGTCATCCGTCTCAGTGCTGTGAACAGCACAGTCATGCCTTTTTGATAGAACAGCCGCAACTGCTTATTTCCCCCTTTTGACCATGCTCTCTTGCTCGCTCGTTTCGTGACCTGCAAATGCGAATAAGCTCTTCACTTGTCCTCAGCCGTATCTACGACGTGTTCATTCCAATATACTGGACCTTCCGTTCGGATCTCAACATCCTGATGATTCTCATTCGGTCGTTCTACACAAAGTTTACGTGTGGTTCGCGTTCAGTCTTGTGCGTTAGCACCAACTGTTTCTTCAGAGGACTCAACATCCACAACATAACTGTACACTGTTATCCTGAGATGCCTGCTACCATTTGCTCGTGTTGCTAATCCCACTACTTCATCATCCATTTCACGCTTTTTTTGACCCCTACCATAAATCCAACAATCCCATGCCACACACTTCGGCGGCGGTCTTAGGCTTCAGTTCCAATTAACCGGTTAGATCGTAGCGATTCTCCTGCTTCATCAGATCTGTTGCTCTGGTTCTTCTTTTTTGGCGATTTAAGGCTTTATCACATGTCAGGCAGGATGTCACTTATTTTGCCGTCCTTCGTTTTGCCTTTGCCCGCTCCCCTCAAACCTCGAAGATCTGGTAATTTTCAAGATTGATATGTTCCCAAAAGAAAGAAACGTTCTGGTAAGTGTGTTCCCGCCCATGCCAGTGGACGTTACCAAATCTACGTAGGATAATGCCCACTGTTTGTGACACTATTTTTTCTGGGCAATTCCCAGAATTCACAAGTCCCACTAGAGATAGTTTTTATTTTCACTGTATCAGTATATTCATGTCTGACGGCATACTACCCACTTGATGGGAATAAGAATTATTATTAGTGTTATACCAGGCGGTATTGTGCATTTTCGCTGGATGCGGAAATGTTTGTGCATCTGGCTTTCATCAAGCAAGTCGTTCTCATTTCTCGAAAAATTGTTCGAAAGTGTCACTTCCGTTGCGTTACATGCAAGGAGTTTCAGATACCTTAAGCAGCCCAGATCATGTTAGTTTGCTAGGGGATATTCTGAATGGCCTTGATACGCACAATCTGATATCTTCAGTTCAACACGGATTCCTCTCAAGCCGTTCATGAATGACGAGCACGCTCGTATTTATGGACGGCTAACCCAAACTGAGAACGGGTGACCCATATAGGATGCAACGTTTTCCAACTTCTCACAAGCATTCGATCGGGTCCCACACGCGTTTCTGCTCCAGAAACTCAGGTCCCACGGGATTAAAGGGGGAAATTTTACACTATATTAGGGCGTTCCAATCAGACAGAACTTCTCCGGTGAAAGTACGCTCGACCTACATCTCCAGCGCCCGGCTCTATTTGACTTTCCCAAGGTTCCATTTTGGTACCACTTCTGTTTCTGATCTACGCCAACGACATTCTTGACGCTCTTTTAAGTCCATGTTCGATTTTTGAGACAAATTGAAATCCCAGAATTCAAATACCGGTGCCCTCTAAATGGATGTAGACATTACGAAGGAGTAGTCGTTGGACTGACACCCTCCTCTGAATGATGAAAAGTTCTTTCAAGTGTCATTTAGAGGAGACTCGGCGAACACCTTTGTTGTGTATAGTGCGAATGGACCAGAAGACATCAAGAGGATGGATATCAAAGAGGACTTGGGTATCTGGCTCCCTTCAAACATGCCCTTCTCCATGCGCCGTAAGAAATCGGCCCAAAACGCATCCATTGTTCCATAAATTATTTGGCGCAACTCCCGAATCACTCACATGGACATTCAACTACCCTGTGGGGCTTAAATCAAACCGCTCATTGGATATGAAAACCAAGTAGCCCACTCCGGACGCAAGAAAAACGTAATACTCATTGAGCGTTTCCAGCGAGCTGCTGCGATGGTGGTTGCTGGCCTTAAATTCGTGGGCTGTGAAACGCGTCTCGCGGTGCTTTACCTCTTTCGTCTGGAGTATTATCGATCCCGATGAGACCTATTGCTTGCTTTTACCCTGACTGCGCAAGGTTTGGATGCCAGGATTTCATTGTTGATCCGAGGAACACACGGCGGAGACAAGGTGAGAAGATTTCCTAGCTCGGAGTGCACACTCTCATTGTGCGAAATATTTTCTGATTTCGGGTACTTGTTGCCAGATACAACTTTTCCGGCGGATATCCTCACTTCATTTAGTATCGAGCTCCAAGCACTTTTAGACACTCCTTTGTATGGATCCTTTCGCTGGCAAGCCGAGAACTTAAAAAGCAGGACTACACCATTTTCCCCTTCTTCCTTTCAAGTGAACAGCAGCTGCTGAACAACAAGAACAAAACCGACCCGGGACTTTATGGTGAAAGCCTCGATCCTGTGTATCAATTCGATGATTCGTGACTACTCAGGAAGTAAGTGGAAGTGAATTCCCCTAAGCGTGTCCAAGCTGCTGCTACGTGAGCAGCTAGGTTCATTGTTAGCTTCACCCCTTTCTACAGTGGCTTGTGAGGGAAGCTGATATTCACCTACCCCTGTTTGAATATTACCTGGCAGAAGGTTGCCCCACATTAAAATTCATTAACCCGCTACGGGACCGGATAGAATGCTTTTGAGGGTTGGGGCGTGCTCTCTTATTAAACAGCCATTCTTACCACTTCAGACGGCTGTTGAATCGAGCAGCTTTCTTCTCACCTTTGCCCAATATGCATTCGGGTACCAGTGCACCAATCCGTTAATCGGCGTCCAATCAGCCAATCAACGGTGGGGAACCACGCGCGGAGAATCAGGTGGGTCCCAGAGGTGATGACAGTTGGCGCCGTTCATATTCTACTGGACAACCTTGGTTCTGTGTTGGAAATGCGCTTTAATTATCGTGACACCACTGTTAGTTATGCGCTTTTTTTGACGGGGCTGCCGTTTTTTGTTAGGGTGACTTTACCCCTTTTTTCCCTGTCTTTTCTCCTTGAAGCCGGGAGGAGTATCTTCTTCACACTCCATGCCATCAATATTTTCTTCATCAATTATTTGGACACGATTGTTCTGCATATCCTCCAGGGCTTGTTTAGTTTCCTTGTCGGTCGCGTAACGGAAATGGAGGGAGTGAGCAACACTTTTGGAAACCCCAAGTATGCTCACGCATGAATATTAAGAGATTATTTTCAAAGATTTCGGTGATCTTTGTTATAGCACCGGACGGATTGCAGGGGTATGGTCAACACCCTTCACCAGCCTGAAACCTCGGTTGCTGTTCTCTACATAGTCTCTCATCGAAGATTGCAACGACTCCGGACGAGTGCATGTTCAATAGTCGGAAAGAAGACGATAGCCAGTTAGTGTTCACCACCATCGGCAGCCCACTTGTCGGTTTTTCAGCCACAGACTATGTACCGATGTACAGTTATTCCAGTCGCTACAGTGAAGAAGAAGGTGAAGAGGATAAACGAATAAAAGAAACCCGCTGGAGGTGACTGTCCAACCAGTTCCTTTGTACTAAGTAAAATTTGTCCGGTATGACAGGGGCTGAGGCCTGTGCAGTGGAAGCAATAGCATGGTGATTGGCCGCATGACATATCCGCATCTACTGGCTCAACAATTGGCGACGATTGTGATACACGCAAATCCCTCCAAACGGATAATCAAGATCGTAAGGAATGACACCATTACGATGGCCGAGGAGATGGTGAAGATAACAATGGCTCCCTATTTTTACTGATCTGATCAACCGGTTGAAAGAAAGCAGATATCAGCAGTAAAGACCGAACGGTAGTTCGCTCATATAATCCTTTTCCTGAGCGATGGGCTGAACACTGAAAAACAGTTCAGCTGACTTCCTTTAACACCACATCTGGTAGAACACACCAACCTGTCGTTAGCAACAATAATCCAGCCCGAAATATCATTCCTCGAACGCGACAAGGCACCCTCTCCAAGTGGTCTGCATCTCATACTTCAAAGAAGGTTGGAAAGCCCTGGTGAGCAGTCTGACGACCCTCTTACAAAAAATTTGGAACGGGAACAGGGTGCCGCTGCAATGAAATGGCTCTACCCTGATTCCAACCCTCAAAAGTGGCTCAGAAATTTCATGCGGAACCATCGCGGCATCAGCCTGGCAACCGTGGTATACAAGGCGCTCCCTGGAATTCGCGCAGGTTGTCCGATTGTTTGGAGAGACGTACTCGTAAGATTCAAGCTGCGTTTTGCCGTTCCCTGGGATAAATCGACAAAATCTCCACTTTATATTACTCCGTGTTCCTCTTATGTCATAGCATTCTAAATCCTGCAGAGCTTTTTCTGTCCAGTCCTGTGGTGAGTGGAAACGACTGGGAGGGATGCAATCTGCGACTTGGCAATGAATTATGAAAGTACTTACTAGTACCCCCGATCGGATTGACAATCTACGCTCCCTTTTAACATGGTCTGTGGCTTTCAAGCTGAGATGAACTGACTGGATTGCACCTGTCTGTCTCATCTTTACCTTCGCGCTATCCTAGTGTGTTTCAGACCCCGTCTAGGTCTGAGCAACCTGGGAGTATCCCAGCCCTCGTGCAACCTTCTGGTGGCATGGCAGTTAGGTACCTTAAGGGTGCTACAGCTGAACGACGACTCTTTGAGAGCTTCCGATGCAACACTTTTGGCTAACGTGGGGAAAAGTGCTGTATTGTTAGGAGTCATCATCATCATCATCAACGACAGCATGACATCAGTGTTCAACACCAATGCTTCACTGCCGTACAGCCATGACTTATTTGAAAGCCTTATTGTAAAGAAAAGAATAAAGGTGGATGGGGGAGGGACTTAGTGCTA